GAAAAGAGTAAGGAGCAGCATGGCCCTTGGGGGGGGCAGGGGCTCCGAGATGCTTCACGGGGGGGATGCGGAGACTTTGTTTGTTTTAGTCTTTATACGTGACCCCGCATGTCTCCTTCGTGCAGCTGAAGGCGCCGCGCGTTGCCCGTGCGTGTGCCGCGCCACTCACCATCGCCGACGTGTCGGGTTTTACCGCAGCCAGTGGTTTTTGGCTGAAAGCCTGCTGTGCTGTTCAGAGCGGGTGCCGGGTCCCAGAGCCGCGGTCAGCTCGGGCCGAAAGGCACACACCAGTTTTCAGCTGCGCACCTCAAACCTCACGCTGCTGAATACCGAGGAGGGCATTCCGAGACAGAAAAAAGATGCTTTGGGGGTATTTTTTAGCCCGGAGGTTCAAAGCAGGGAACAACATCTTCAGATCCAGTCTGCTGCTGCTTCATCTGCCCAGCCCATCCTCCTGCCGGGCAGTGCCGCAGCTCTCTGCTCCTCGGCAATTCCCTCCTGCCTTTGGAATGAAAGTAAAAGCTCTCTCTCTCTGTTTTGCAGCGGCATCACTCAGCCCATGCCGGGAAAACGTGCCTAGGAACAACCTTCGACACGTGACAAGGATTCCAGAAGTGCTACTTGACAAATGCTTGATGAGAATTAATTCAGCTTTCCAGAAAAACCCTCTGCCCTCCGGCACACCGTCCCACCTTCTGACTTGGGCTGCGGTAAGAGACTGAGCTGGAGCTGCAGCCCGCTGCGTGAGAACCCAGGGCAGTGCCCGCTTCCTGAGGGTGAGCAGACCTGGTCCCAGAGGCGTTCGCTGCCCCTCGGGGAGGGGATTCCAGGGCTGTGCGGCAGTTACCTGAAGCGTAACTGTTCCAAATACAAAGCTGTTGCGTTTGCAGGGGGAAAAGCCGCCTCCTGCTTTACCTGAGCCCGTCAGGCTCTGTCCCACAGCTCTCCCTCCCGTCTGGAACCCCGTCGGCAGAAGCCAGGTCCTGCCTCGCTGCTGGGCCCTCTGCACGGACGCACCTTCTGTCCTGGTTTCTGCGGTCAGGCAGTGAAGAAACGCACAGTGAGCTGGGTGGCTGCTCCAGCCGAGCGGTGGCCTCTCCTCCTCGGGGGGACGGAGGGACGGCTCCCAGTTATTTTTGTGCAAGTAGTGAGTAGAATTTGAAATGAGTGTTTATCTAAACAGTAGTAAATGGCATTTTTCATTCAGGTTACAACACTGTTATGCTTTTATCTCTGTTCCATTTCTTCTTCCTGTTCTTCTTAAGGTACTTTGCATTTTTACTTCACGATGTCTTTCAAATTTGACGTTTCTTCATGCTGTCCAGGATCCCCAGCGTAACCTGGACGCGTGGCTGTTGCCAGGTCTGTGCGCGTGACAAGGGCTCTCAACGCAGGCAAAACAACGGAGTTTAAAATCATCTGTCCTCTTTTCTCTTCCAGGCAATGCTGTGGAAGAGTCTAGTCGCGGAGACTGATAGGGAAGCCCTCCGGCAGTCTCAGCTGGCTCCTGTGGAACGCTTTATACGCCGCTTAAACTTGGACGTGGCGCTTCTGTTTTTTCCAGAATCGTGTGAAACTGAGAGGTGAGGCCAGTCCCACTGTGCTCCGAGGCAGGTCGCTACTCCAGCAGGGAATCTAGACTCCGGGCAGCTCCTCATTTGTGGTGGGGGACGGGCCGAGAAGGATGTGGCTCAGGCCTGTGCTCCCCAGGAAGAGTTAAGTATTTCTCCCCTGTGCGCGTGGAGTTGTGAGAGCCCAGAGCAGCTCGTCTGTCGGGAACGCGCGTGAAGAGATCGGGAGCTTTCTGTAGGATGTAGAACAGGTCAGATCTCCAGAGGGGGGAAGTAACCCCTCATTACTCTGTTTCCCAAGGAAGGAAAGCGGGAAGGTTTCCCGCTTCATTCCCGGCAGCCTGCTTCCTAACAGGTAGAGCACTGCCCTTGTAAAGCGTCGTCGGGGCTCACCTCCTCCCCCCTCGTTCTGCTCTGTGCAGGACCTGATGGGCCCAGCATAGCGTCCCGGCTCCGCAGCCTTGGCCGGGTTTGTAGGCTGATACAAACTGGCTCCGCGCGTCACCAGCCCCGCGGCTCCGAGGAGAGCCGGGCCCTGCCCCTGCCCAGCCGGGTCAGTGCTGTCTGCCGGCGGC